GAAAATGACATTATACAGGGTGGTAAGGGCTTGGCCTGGGGGCTCCCTCACAGAGCAGCAGCCAGAGCCCTGCAGCAGGGGCATGATTACCCTTCCCATCAGTTTGGGGAAAATCATTCCTTGTTTTGGATCACCACCATCTCTGCCCTACAAGAGCAGGCACTCTGTCTGGTTCCAATGGAAGCAACTGTGAGAGAAGGATGGATTTTTCCTCTCAATTCACTTTAGCATTTCATCCTTTGTTCCTGTGCATGAGTGAACTCAGTGAGTGCTTTGCCACTACAGTGCAAAGTCCATCCTGGAGGGGAACCAGTGCGGTACAGGTGTGGTACAGTGCTCTATTGCACCTACTGAGAAAGAATCAGGCAGGCAGGAGCATGGGGCAGGCTGGAACCTGGCTGCTTCCCATCTCCTGCAGCGTGTGCTGTACTGATAGCAGTGGGGCCCTGCAGCACACAGCACACCTTGTGGCACACCCAGCTGCAGGCGCTCAGTGAGCCTCTCATTGCTTCAATGCACCTCACAGCCTCTTGCTGATGATGCACTGAAGTGAGGTCTCAGGTTAGTTGTCTCGCTTTCAGTACCGAGCCAAATGCTGTGAGCCCTGGGAGCACTGAGATACAAAGTGCAGCAGGAGCAGGGAGCTGAGGAGCCCGGCAGCCTCTGCACGCTGCTGCTGCGTGATGCCTTCCTGCTCAGGCCACAGAGCAGTAAGCGCAGCCCTGTGCAGCCTTTCACCTATAAAGCACTGTTTACAGATTTCACTCTTCACCTTTTTTTGGTTGCACACCAATACCCTTCTGTGTGTGCATGCACTGCAGCTGGCAGAGCCATATGGTGTTTTCCTGATGTATTTTTGAGTGCAGCTCTGTAATGGTACAGCTGAGGGAGGCTTCAGATGAGAAAAACTTTCCAGGACGTCTAATCTGTATAAATAACCCCCACAACAAAAAGCCATTTTTAAATTTATGCTTAGTGCTGCCAACCTCCTTGCTATCCCTCTCAGTCCAAAATTTATGCAGATTGTGGCTTAAGAGTTTCGCTCTTAATCAAAACAGCGAATGGATGTGATAGATGGGCACGTTGAGGGAAACAGATGCTTTTAAAAAACCCACTTAAACTTACATTTTCATTTGTACTTTATGGCAGCAAGAAAGGAGTACTTAAAAATAATTCTGGCAGGGGAAAGTTCTTGCCTCGATGTACTAAAACGAACAGAGTTATAGCTGAGATTTCTGGATCTGTCCGAGCAATTCAAGTGTCCAAGTAAAACAAAGCAAGTGAGCATCAAATCCACTGCACACCCCTGAAATCCCTCCTGCCCGTGTGCACGGGGCCATGCGTATACAAGTACGTGGATTTATGAGCAGAGCAATTACTCTTCCAGGGATTCTGAATCTGTAAACACCTAAAAATGAACTCCGACTATATGGGGTGTTTGAACGACCGCTCGGATAGTGCATCGCATGACCTGATCAATATTGATTATTTAACAAGAGTAAATTCGACCCAGAACTTTTTAAAACCTTAAGCTCTCTAGTACACACGGCCAGTAGGATTATTTAGGAGCATCCAGCCAGAATTGCCACACAGCACTGCAGTAACCAAACAAACCCACCTACGCTGTGATTTTGGGCTATTTATAGTCACTCCAAGAGCAGGAGAAGGGTTTGTCCCTATAGGGCCATGCAGACACAGGTCTGCTCCTGAAAACTGCAGCTTCACATCCCAATCCAGATTCATAAAGCTGTTTTAGCATGGGCTGCTGCACTGTTTTTGCGTTTTAATAGACACTTTTCAGACACAGACTTAACTGTGTGAGTTACATCCGCATGTTGGCTTCTCAGCTTTGCCTTCCACAAGTATGTTAACCAGGACAATACCATATCACTGATTTCACTAACCCTGCAAGCATTCACAATGCCTCTGATTGCTCCTATGTGAAATCTGAGCCTGTAATTCACTGCAGGTGAGGAAACGCTCCCAAAGGGCAAATCAAACCCATAAAATGTGACAGCATAGCTCACAGCAGGCAGAAAACGCTGGGGTGGGGTACAGCAGGGATCTCACACCACCTTTAGGGATCCCCGAGACTTCTCTTCCAGAAGACAGAGCAGACAAAGCTTTCTTGGAGGCTTTTCACAGGTGTGACCTGCTCCAGGGAACTATACCTTACAGCCTAGAGCTGAAGGCAGCAGCTTTTGGTCTCATCTGGGGTTAACGTCAAAGCTTCCTGCAGATGAAAGAAACCAAAGGACTTCCACTTGTCCTCCTTTTGTCTGTATTTGTGTTGCAGCCCCAGTCCCAGACGCTCTCACTGATGTGAGCAGGACCCACGAGGAGGGCACTCACTGCTTATCCATCTCAATACTTGCGAGGAAGGCTGAATATATAAACAGAACAAAACATGGCAATGTGCTCACAGAAGGCTCTGTCAGATTAGGGGGTGGGGGCCCACAACAGACTCCTCAGCTCTTGTTTGCTGCCTTCTGTTCCACCTACACTCACACTGGTGTGGGAACTGTCTGTTTTTGGGAGGGATCTGAAGAGGGTTCCTGGTAACCATGTGATCCTGACCACTCACAGCAGAATGGGACTGTTTTCTGACTGATGATTGTAATCATTCCAGCTGCAAAACACACGCACGTATAAACATTACAACATCAATGTTGATTTTACAATGTCTGGTGTCATCAAATAAACAACAGCCTTTGGGAGAGGCTCCTGAACGCAACAGCTGGACGTAAGCCTTCTTCTGGTGGTAGTTTATCTTTCATCTGTCTTTCAGTTTTTCTCAGAATAATTCACTACATAGGAATCAACAGCTGCAGAATCACGCTCTTTCTGTCTGTCAAATATCAGCATTTCCTGTTCCTAAGGAGGGTGAGGTGAGATGAGATAGTTTCACAAGAACCCATTTGTGTTGCCACTACTGAAGAACAAACTGAGACTTTTCAGCAGTGCTCATGAAGAGACTGAATGGACCGCTGGGAAGAACATGTCAATCAACCTTCAGTCATCCATTCCAGTATAAACAGCTTATCCACCAAATCCACCTCAAGTTGCCCCATCAACAGAAAAATACTCAAAAATGTTAAAAGTGGAAAAAAGAAAAATCATAAAAATAAATATTTCTGGAAGTAGTGAGAAACAAGTGCCAATTGCCTGCTGGGATAATGGACCTAGTTATAAGCAAGCCTACGTTTTACTTTACTTTTTTTTTACACAAGGTACATTTCCGAATCAATTCTGAAAACTGCAGCACAGAGCAGAGACCTGTCTGACAGCTGGGCCCAGAGAAGCAGACCTAGGGGCCAGGAAGAGGTTCAAGGTGGACATTTCCACCCAACAGAACAGAGCATCAGTGATGGTCAGCCGCACATCATGTGCCCAACAAAGAGGAAATGAGAGGAAATGGAAGCTTCTCATGCAGGGCAGAGGCAAACGAGCTGAGCCAGCAGTTTTGGGAAGCCTTGGTTTCCTACATGTTGGAGACCACTCTCATCTCTTGTCTGTTTCCCACCTCAACAGCCTTCTTCTCCTTCTCCTTGGTCCCACAGTAAGATTCAGGCTTCTTCATTATCATTTTCAGTATCTCCTCTCTCCCCCCAGCTCTCAGGCAAATCTCTCAGCAGCAGAGGGCTGTGCTATGGCTGGGCTGAAGAGAACGTGGCCAGTAAACCCAGCCAGTGAAGCCTGAGTGCTTTGCCCCTCAGAGCCCTCCTCTGCCAGTTGATGGCTCTGCTCACCTTCTGGGTACTCACGGTGGGATTTGTGGGCTTACCTACCTGCAGAAGCCATCCAGGTTCCCACCATCAGCACTGGAGATGGAGTCAGCAGAACGGAGTGCAATTCATCCCGTATTGGGGTAAAGATGAAACATGCCCAAACCTCATGGTTTATATTTACCACCACGTCAACAGCCATAAAAGAGCTATAAAAACAAATGCTTGTGCTACAAGCAACTAATCTTAGATTAATCCCACCCACAAAGTCTCTGGGTACAGTTACATTCACTTTGCTATCTGAACCAGAGAACAACCTCAGGATCAGGGCCATGCAGTACAGACTGGCCTGCTTCCCAGCTGCTCAAACAAGGGTCCTCTGGAGCAGAAGATGTGCACTCATGGCAGAGACGAGCAGGAGCATGAGAGCTGTGCCAGAGCTCTACCCACTCCAGGTCTCCTTGGCCTCCCCAGCCAGCACACTCACCAGCACAGGCCCCACCACACAGCCCTCGGCTGCTGTTTTGCAACAGGTATGTGTATAGACACCTGCAGCCTTCCAGGCATTGACCTCATCTGCAGTCCCTTCTTCCCCTTGGAGAGAGGAGACTTTGGACTTAGAGCAGTTGACTGAAGGGCTGTCCCATTCTGTGCCGTGCAGCCTCATCTTGAGCACTGGCTGCATCTTGGGCGTCACAGTACTGGCAGGAGATTAAACTATTAGAGCGTGTCCAAAAGAGGGCTACAGAGATGGGGATGGGTCTGGAGGGCGAGATGTACGAGGAGCGCTGAGGCCGCTGTGTTTGTGCAGCCCGGAGCAGAGGAGCTGAGGGGAGGCCCGATGGCGGCTGCAGCTCCTCACAGGGAGCGGAGGGGCAGCGCTGAGCTCTGCTGTGTGACAGCGACAGGGCTGAGGGAACGGCATGGAGCTGCGTCAGGGGAGGGGCGGGTGGCGGTCAGGGACAGGGGCTGCAGCGGAGGGCGGCGGGCACGGAACGGGCTGCACGGGGCAGTGGGCACGGCCCCAGGCCGGAGTTCAGGGAGCGTTTCAGACACCTGGTTTGGATTCGGGGTGGGCCTGTGAAGAGCTGGGAGTTGGACTCAATGACTCCTCTGAGTCCTTTCGAACTCAGGATATTCTAAGAGCAGGAAGACAAAAGTCATGGGTGGGTTCAGATAGACAGGGTCTTTATAAGGTCTGCCTGCCAGCCCCTTAAAATGGGCATGTCCCTTACTGGATCCATCTCCACAGAGAATAGAACCAGCACTGTCCTTTGGAAGCTGGCAATCACAACCTTTTTTGGTTACCATAACTGGCTACTCAGGATCAGTCTGCAGAGAAGATGCCACCAGTAATGCATGTTTCACCTATTAGGGACAAACCAGTGCTCTCTTCTTCCAAAAGAACCTCCCTGGTGTCAGGGCATCACTCTGCACTTTGCTATGGCTCGCACAGCCCCCTCCTTGCTGCTGCAGCTCCTGCAGAGTAAGTCTTGGTGGGACTGAGGTGCAGCGTGCCTCCAAGGATGCTGTGGGACAGAGGAACTTGAATCTTGACAGCAGTGAGCCTTGAGACCAAAGTGTACATCTCCAACAATGAGACGCAGAGCTGAGGCACACACCGCCATGCTGAGCTTCAGGAATGAGGTGTGTGCTCTGCAATCTGGGTTGCAGGACCAAAGCGAGCCGCAGGGAGGAGTCCAGGGAGCAGCCAGATGCCAACACCCTGCTGCCATGCAGGCGGTCAGGACAAGTTGCACACCGTGTGCTCTGTGCCATCTCCTGCCTCTGCCTGAGGCACTGAAACAACCGGAGAACCAAAGACAAACGCCTTTCCCGGTCCCTGTACAATCCCCACATAATCACTGCTCCTCCCAGTCCCACCGACCTGCTCCTGTGTTATCTGCATGAAAGCCTCCAGAGTTGAGTAGCTTTGGCAAAGCCCAGGGGCTGCCACACCTAACAAACACTTTAGGCAAGCTTTTCTCAACATGAGGGCAGTCTCACTGCTGGGGTTCCCTGCCACTGACAAAATCATCACTACTTACACACTGTGTGTCTGGACATTAAACAGGGATCTATCCTGCAGCCCTGCATCACTCTGATAGAACTGAGATACTTGCATTCTGCAGCACCAAAACAGGCTTTCACAGAGGCTTTTTTTTTTTTTTTTTTTTCTAATTAAAAAAAAAATAGTATTGCTCAATTCTTGCTGTCCTGCCAAAGACTATCAGAGCTATCTATGTGGCAAAGCCATGACTCTTATGACATCTCTTTAAATGAGACACAAGGCCTTGAGCTCCACAGGTCCCTAAAGTGCGCCCTTAGTTCTGTGATGACTCAAGGGAAAAAAAATCAATTACTAACAGTGAGGTGATTGCTTAACAGCACACCGGTGGTGTATTTTGTACTATGATGTGAGGAGAGGCATTTGACAGGAGGTGGCAGTGGGATGTGAGAACTCAAGGCTTTCCAAGACATACTGGAGGGTTGTCCTGGGTGCAGGGAGTCAAACTGGATGCAGTTCAGCCTGTACTGTATGAGGAACATACTGCCTGCACTCTCCACCTGCATTTCCCTATTCAGAAACTATTCACTTGCTTGAATATGAACACAGGCACTGGGAGTTGATCAAATATTGGCATCACAGTTAATTGTTCCTGCAATATTACATTTACTGATAGCTTTGCTCTATTTTGTTTGTTTTGTGTGGCTGAAACTATTCAACAGTTCAAAAATCAGAAAATGCAGGTAGGCTTAAAGAAAAGTTCATATGACTTCATTCATATGACTGTTATCAAAATATTTGAGGTGCAGAAATGCTGTTACCTTTCTGAGGAGGAGGAAAGTCCCTGCTGAGATTCATACCACATTAGTATGTCAAACAAAATGCTCTGTTCACACCACCATCTGTTTGCCTCTGGAATTTATCCTGGAAATGCAGCAATTTAGTCACTGTGTAACGAGTAAGATCAGCTTGGGCATGAAAAAGCAAACAAATGTATTTCTAATGCTTCCATCGGGAAAAACACTTATCACAGCATGGACAGGTGGCTTTGTCAGCTGCACAAGCTCACTCTGTAGTGCTTAATTTCAATTCAGTTTCTAAGTATCTGATTTTTTTTAACAGTAATTTAAATAGAGCATTGGGTTATATTCAAAATGGTTAATTAAACCACAACACCCATAGAAGTACTCATCCAACATGGGAGGTTTAAAATAATCATTCATGCCCTTTCATAAGTGCAACACAGCTTCTTGCTGGACTCTAGGATAAAGGAGCCACTTATGGCTGTATGACAAAGCCAAGGTAAGCCACAGGTAACGGAGCATGCTGAAATTCAGGTTCAGACTGCTGGATAGGATTGAAGTTACCTAGTTGGCCAGTGATTTTCCAGTCTTGTTGCCAATTCTCTTTCCTCATTTATCACCCCAATCCCACATCTTTCCACATCAAAAATATACGACATGCAGGCTGGGCAAGTGGTTTTCTAGGAAACGTAAGATACAGCGTAAAAGGCACAAATAAATAACCCACAAGGGCTAAATGTCAAACTCCTAAACACCTTCAGAATGAAAAGCAAACACATCAGATTGCTCCTAGATGGCATAAAACCACATCCCTATGTTCCTTGGGAGGTCAAAGGGAAAGCACACATTTGATCTGACAGCCGTAGCTCAGATGCTTCCACTGGCTGCCAAGAGAAAAGCATTTTTAAACTGAAATCGGCTCATTTGCCAAAAAGAAGTGCCTCTCACTTGCCTCAGGCTTTATTAGGGGTGTCTGAGTCTCCCCACCCCCATGGCAGCCACGTCAACAACAGCATTGCCAACACTCTCTGGAGCTTTCCACGCAGTGACCCGCAGGCGAGGCAGGATGGTGGCTGCATGGGGGCAGACAAAACACTCTGCAGAGAAGATGGGGCCATGAGCAACTCTGTGCTGAATGCATCCATGTGATGATGGGTTGTGTAGGACGGGCAGGAATGCAGCGCTGCCAGCCACGCACGATCCGCCTGGTGTGGAAATCAGGCTGGTAAAATAAACGACAGCCTTAAAGCTAATTACAAATAAGTTCTGCTCTGCATATGAAGATAAACTGTCATGTTTTCCAGCCTCTTAAGCAGGGATTATTTTGGGGAGAGGTGGTTGTAGACAGTCTTAGCCTGCAGAGCAGGAAAGGAGTGGGGAAGGAAAGAGCAGTCAGACACACACGGGAGGGGTTGCAGCAAAATGAGCAGCTTTACTTCCATGGATGCCAGGGATGTGTGGGGAACGGAGCTCCCACGAGGGGCAGGAGCCAAAGAACAGTTTGGTCTCTCCTTTCTGGGGGCTGCTCCTCCCAGTTCAACCCAGCAGCCTGAAATGCTGCTCCAGGACATGTTCACCAGGATGGCAGGGCCTCAGGGATCTGGGCACACGAAGCCTGTCTATCCCCTCTGGCACGAAGCCCCCTCTTTCTCATGGTCCCTCAGCCCTGGCTGCATCCCTACCGCCTCCTGTCAGCGTTCGCTGCCCAGTTCCCAGCCAAGCACTGCTCTCAGCACGCAGCCCTCACCTCTCATCCCATCGGTGTTACCTGGGAGAAGAGGCCGTCCCCAGCCCATCACAACCTGCCTTCGGGCAGTTGCAGAGAGCAACGAGGGCTGCCCTGAACCTCCCCTTCTCCACACTGAACGATCACAGCTCCCTCAGCCGCTGCCATAAGACTTGTGCTCCAGACCCTTCCGTTTTGCCGCCCTTCTGTGACGGGCTCCAGCACTTCCACGTCTTTTCTGTGAGAAGCCGCAAAGCGTTGCTTACTTCCAGCCCCTTACCCCACCACCACCTCGGCGGCACGTACCGCCGGTACCTTGCCATAGCAGCACACCGACAAGGCGAACAGCATTTCACACTGCGTACCGCACTCATTTACACGGGCAGAGCAGACGCCGCTCCGCGGGCGTTTCCCCGGTGCCCCTGATGCCGCAGCGCACAGCCGGGGCGCCGCGCACCGAGCCGTGACCCCCCCGATCGCGAGCGGCGGGGAACCCGGGGAGGAGGGCATCCCCCCGGCGCCACCGCGAGGAGCCCGGCGCCACCTCCGCGCCGCGGGGAGGGGCGGGGGGCCGCGTGACCTCACGGCGAGGCGGCGGCCGCCCCCGCCCGGATGCACTGACTCAGCCGCCGGGATGACGGCGGGAGCGCGCACGCCGCGCCGACTCCCGAGCCACGCCGCGCCGACACCCGGGCCACGCCGCGGGGCAGCCGCCGATCACGCGCGGGGCGCCCCGCGCCCATTGGCTGCCGCCTCACACACCTTTGCCGCCGATTGGCTGCCGGGCGGGCGACGCCCCGCCCACCCGCGCGGGGCGCTGGAGCCGCCGCCACCTGAATGGGGAGCGGCGGACAAAAAGAGGAAAATCGGCGCGGGCACGGCCGGCGGTGGCGGCACGGGGTCCCGGCACGGCGCGCGGTGAGCGGGGGCTGCGGGAGGGGCAGGTCGGGGGGCGCGCAGGAGGAGGGGCACGGCGGGACGGGGGAACCGGCAGAGCCCGGGGGCCGGGCGGGCGGGTGGGCGGCGGCGGCGTGAGAGTGAGCGAAGAGTACGAGGCGGGGGGCGCCGCCGGCACCGCAAGCGGGGAGCCGGGAGTCTGGCTCCGGACAGCGGGACGGGCTGAGCTGTGGGCGTTGGGCGGCGGTACTGCGAGCAGCCGCGCCACCGGACGCGGTGGCCGCAGCCCCGTCCCCGCGGTGCGATGCGGCGCGGTGCTGAGCAGCTCCTTTCCTGCTCCTTCTGAGGGCGGGGGCGGGAGCGCGGCGAACTGGGGGAAAGGTCGGCGCGCGGCGCTCCCAGCAGCCGCCGATCACGCTTTGTTCGCGTGCCCCCGCCCCGACCGCGCCCCGCCCGGGGCAGCCAATGGGGGCGGGACGGGGGCGGGACGGGGGCGGGGCGAGGCGGCGGGGTGCGCCGAGGTGACGGTGGCGCGCGCCCAACGGCCGCCGGGGATGGGGGCGGGGACGGGGGCGGGCCGTGCGGCCGTGCCTCGGCGCTGCCCCGCGCCACGGAGCTCCCCCTGAGCCATGCCGCCGGCGGCTCCTGGCGCGCGGCTCCGTTTCGTGCGGCGTTCTGCCAAACCGTGCGTGTCCCGACGTGCCGCTCCCCGAGCTGCCGTCCTCACGGCTGTAAACGTGGCTGCGTGCGCTCCTGAGCGCTGTGGGAACACCGAGTGGCGGCTGACGCGTTTAGAAGGGAGCGGCCCTGGGCTTCTCGTAGCCGCGGGTCAGAGCGGGGGTTCGAAGCGGGAACGGAAGGAGGGTGCGGCGGGAGGGGGGATCTGGGCTTCGTCCCGTGTTGCGTTTTGTCGTTTTAAGCTTTCAGCCGCAGCAATATGGAATAACTTGAACTATTGCTTAAGGTTTGGGGAAGTTGTTTGGCCTCAAGGAGCTGTGTCATCCTCACCAGATGGCAGATTTCCCCACAGATGACTTAAGAAGGCATCCTGTCAGGAGGGCAGTGTAGCCGTACCCCGTGTCATCATGCACGTTTTCCCTGCACGAGGCGCTCCATGCTGTTAGCTAGCCGAGACCATCGAGTTAAAGGCTTATTGAACTCTGACCCACACAGGAAGAAGAAATGGCGATGATGACTGAGAAGCAGGGAGATGCTCAGTATTTCTGGAACAATACCCCTGAGAAAGGCGATTACGAGGCTGTTGAGGCCCTGATTTCTATGAGCTGCAACTGGAAGACTGACCTGAAGAAACATGCAGACATGAGACCCATCACCCCAGCCTCTGACATGTCAGAGGACAGCGATGAGACCCTGCTTCCTGGAGTGGCAGACTTCAGCACCATCCCCGCATTTGTAAGTGCTTACCATGTGCAAGCTCATTTCTCTGTGTCCATGAGGCAGCAGTTGGTAACGCGTGGCAGCAGGTTGTTAAATGTCCCCCTAATCTCACCTCTTCCTGCAGTGCCTGACCCCTCCGTACAGCCCATCCGACCTGGAGTTGTCCCACACCACCCCCACATCTCGAGGAGAGGCTGAGCCGCACGCGCCCAGAGCCCTGAAGGCCCAAGCGACCAGCGTTATTCGGCACACGGCCGATGCTCAGCTCTGCAATCGCAAAACCTGCCCAGCGAGAACAGCCAGTGTACTGAAATACCAGGATGGTGCTGCATGGGACACTAATAGCAAACTGGACAGCAACGAAGAGTGCTCGGCTACAGCACTGAGCAGAGTGAGTTATGAAAGCAGACGATTGCCAGCTGCAGAAAGAGAAACTGCAGAGCCAGCTGCTGGCCCTGAGCGCTCGACAAAGCCTGTGGTCAGCAGGCATCCATCTGTCCCTGGGTCAGCACAGCAGCCAGCACCGATGGCAGCCCCATGCTCTGTCCTGGGAAACGCAGCCCCCCCCGTGCCGGTCATTTGCCAGATGGTCCCACTGCCCACCAGCAACTCTGTCATGACTGCTGTGGTGCCTGGTGCTGCAGCCAGCCGGCCACCTGCGCTCTGCCAGCCCATGGTGCTCATGGGCACACAGGTCCCCAAGGGCGCCGTCATGTTCGTTGTGCCCCAGCCAGTTGTGCCGAGCGCGAAGGCTCCGATCCTCAGCCCAAATGGCACGAGGCTCTCTCCTATTGCCCCCGCTCCTGGCTTCGCACCTTCTGGAGCCAAAGTTGCTCCTCCGGTTGATTCTTCGAGAATAAGAAGTCATGTTTGCAACTACCCGGGGTGTGGGAAAACTTACTTCAAGAGCTCCCATTTGAAGGCTCACGTCCGAACACACACAGGTTGGTCACTCATTCGGGCTGTTAAAAGTTAACGTGACGTTGCAGCTGTATGCACTACTTGTTAAGAATCTCGTAGTTACTGGATTTGTTCATAGAGCATATTGTGGGGCAGCAATGAAAGGCTTCTTTCTCATTGTGTGCACTGTAATGCCACCTAATCTGTGAGAGGAAATACCCCGGGGGGGAAGTTGATTCAGGAGTTTGTGCTGGCTTTGCTCCATGTCAGAAGGCAGACAGCAACATATCTTGCAAGCATTGGAAGCAAGGCCCTGCCCAAATGTAGAAAAGGCTTTTCTGTAGTTACAGATGCCTTATTAGGCTTCTACACAAGAATGCCTTTGTGAGAAGTAGGTTAAGGTTAACTTAAAGGGATTCTTTCATGAACAAAAGCAAGTGTCCAATCAAAGCTATTCCCACTTTGGTTATCTCTGAACAACTTCATGTCTCAGCTCTTATTCACAGTAGTGAAAAGAGGGGCGTGCATTTTCACAGAGACTCATGATGTGCTGCCAGAGCTCTGTTACATGGGAATGGGACCAACATCGTTATGGGTTGCATTAAGGAGGAGCACTTGGTCACCTGACCAAAGGCACCATAATCTGCGGCACCCGTGGGGCTGAGAGCTAAAATCAGCCCTGTGTGCAGGCATAGGGAGCATCTCAGTTTGTTTTTCGGAGGACTTTTCAGGCCTCCTGCACTACTTAGTATTGATGATAGTGAGTCTGCAATGTTTAAATGTTTTTGAATTTCATATATATAAAAGTAATGAAGATTTATATGAAGCTCGGTTGTAATGGAAATGCATTTTTCGAAAAGCCAGCTGCTGTCAGTCAAGCCAATAGCGTTGGTTGCTCAGTGTTCACGGCTTTCCTTCTTCTAGGAGAGAAGCCCTTTAGCTGCAGCTGGAAGGGCTGTGAGAGGAGGTTTGCCCGCTCCGACGAGCTGTCCCGGCACCGCAGGACGCACACCGGGGAGAAGAAGTTTGCGTGCCCCATGTGCGAGCGGCGGTTCATGAGGAGCGACCACCTGACGAAGCACGCGCGGCGGCACCTCTCCGCCAAGAAGCTGCCCAACTGGCAGATGGAAGTGAGCAAGCTGAATGACATCGCCGTGCCGCCTCGGTCGGTGGCTGCGCAGTGAAGGGACTTGGTCAGGAGGTGGCTGATTAACTGTTGTCACTGGGGTATGCCAGGTTAAAAAAGAAAAAAAAAAGAAAAAAAAGAAAAAAAAAAAAAAAAAAAAAAGCTTTTGCTGCAGGTCTGTGGTTCTCCAGTGCCAGCTGCTGATGGCAGCGCTGCAGGGAGGCAGAGGCGGTCTGTGTGCAGTGACACAGCGTGGGGCTGAGAGACTCAGGCTGGCTGGAATGGAGGGTGTCTTTTGCACTGGTAAGGAGAGAAAGGGAAGGCTCTAGAGCAGAGCAGAACGCGTTGTGCAGGTTTTGAATTTTGCAGATTATTCATATATGCTATATACATATATATATATATCAGTCAAGCGTCAGTGTTGCTGAAGGTTTGCGGCTGATGCTTGAGACCAGCACAGATTTTAACTGTTGGTTGTGAATCGCCAGTACGGCACAGATTAGATAGACGGCAATGTGCAGGCACAGGCTTGAAAGCCCAGGGTGTATGTGCCAGAGGTGATCCAAATTGGTTTTCCTACTTGTGCTGCCTTTTCTGGGTAGGAGGGCCCAGTAGATTTCCAGGCCCAGTGGTACAGGTGGGTTGGTGCCACGCTCTGGGAGCTGTGGGGCCTGTCCTACAATTGGTGCCATGTGCCCTGGGGCCACCAGCTTTGTGCTGCTGCCCAGAAAGGGCTTCAGTGGGTGCTGAGAGGCACCCTGTAGGCAGTAGGAGGCAGGGGGGTGAAAAGTTTGTGAATCCTCGTTGGCTTTGTAACATTTTCCTGGCTTCTTTTGAAAGCTTTGTGATTATTACAACTGGTTATACTGAGGCATCGTACGGTGCTTCTGCTTTTGTGATGCTTACAGTTTCCTTCATACCCTCTCAAATTCCATACCACTGCATTTTTCATAAGCAGATACAGTGTACTTTTAAGAAAAACAGTGAAACTGTAAGCTACTTGGGTGGACTGAGAGAGAAAAACTGGAACCTTAGGGTTCTTGACCATGTTATTCTTTGAAAGATGGTTTATACTAAAAATGAGATATGGATATGTTATGTATTGTATTAAATTAGAAAGTTGTGATTTGAAAAGTTAAACAAGGCAGTAAAGACACAGCTTAGAATTAAAGCTGTATATTTTGTGACAAATAATGTGTCAACTTCACTCTATTTTA